ATCAGTAAAGAGTGTTGGAGTGTATCACCTAAAATTTTTGTCTTTTTCTTTTTTTAGATTCATTTATGCTGAAATATGCTATGTTGAGAGCCAAACATAGAGAAATGGTAGTTTTGACAGTTGGATTTAAATGCTTCAATGATTGAATTCTCAAGTCCTGATTTTTTTTTTTTTTTTAGTTTGGTGCTTTGGTGAAATAAGTGATGACCTCTTTGAGAAGAATTTAACATGGGGGCTGCAGAGTTCTAAGAGGGTGGGCTCCACAGCTATGTGGTTGGGACAAGGCAATAGAGGTGACGATGCTCTTGGTCTATCATGACTTCCATTGGATTTAACTCTAAGAGAGTCAAAAGGCTTGAAAGATGTTCTAGGCCACTGGTTCTTAAACTGGAGCGTGCATCAGATCACCTGGAGGGCTGGTGAAATCCTAAAGTGCTGGGCCCCACTCAGAGTTTCAACTCTGTAGTTCTGGGCTGGGGAGAATGTACATTTCTAATGAGTTCCCAGGTGATGCTGACGGGAGCACCCTTGAAGAACCCCTGCTCTAGATCATGCAGCTTTCAGTATCGATCATAACTGTTCTATTCTAGACCAGTGAGATGTTGCCCTTATTTAAAAGATCTCCTGGAGACAGATCACATAGCCATCTTGTGGGCCATTTCTGAAGTGTCAGGGAGCTTGTGCAATGATGTTTTATAAAATTGAAGTGCATTCTGGGAGATTTTTCCCTCTGGAAGCCCTCTGCATATACTGGAAGGACTGGAATGAAGCCGGCTACAGCCTGATGTGACCTCCTTGTGGGTGAGTATGTATGTTCTTTGTTTGTATGCGATCTATGTGTAACTTATCTGGTAGGCTAAATATACACAGTGTGGATACTCTGAAACTCACAAGGAGCTTTCACTGATATGACCATGCTCAAACATATGCCTACCAAATTATCCAGCTATTCCCAAGAGGAAAGAAAGTACATGTACAAGTACAAAAATTTGTACATGAAAGCTCATGGCAGCTGTATCTGTCATAGTCCCAAACTGGGAATAGAGCACATGTTCATCAAGTGAATGGATGAACACATTGTGGTATGTCATACCATGGAATACTACTCAGCAATAAAAAGAAATGAATTATTGATATATGCACAGCAGCATGGTTAAATGTCAAAATAATTATGCTGAGTGAAAGAAGCCAGGTAAAACCAAATACATACAATATGATTCTATTTATGTAATATACTATAAAATTCAAACTGTGGCAACAGAAAAAAGATCAGTAGTTGTTAATAGATAGGGCTGGGGTGTGCCGAGTGGGTGAGGTGAGGAAACTAGGGGTGATGGATAGAATCATTATCTTGATTGTGGTGATGGTTTCACATCAAACTGTATACTTTATATACACATATGAAGTTTCTTACATGTCAATAGAAGCACAATAAGGCTGTTTTAAAAACTGTCTGCCCTCCATTGAAAATGAAAGCTTTATAAAGAAGATTTAAAACCGTACCCAGCACAAGGAATCCTTTGACCTCATCATATGTCTGCCAAAACCCCTCACTGATTTGGATGGTCTCTGCAGAGGCCTTCCTGAGTTCTCATGTCAGAAAGAGGCAGAGTGAGAGCTCACATTAACAAAATCTCATCCTGTCACTGGAAAATGAAGAGAATTTTTGTTCAATGATGCTCAACTTTGTGATAAGGAATCGCTGAGTGTTTGTGAGTGGGGATGTCAAGAGCTCTCTGGTTTCTTTGCTCACCTGGGTCATTCCATTGGTGATCCATGCAGTGCTCCCACCAGTGTCCCTGCAGGGCAGTGGTGGGTGTCTCAGAGGCTTTAGACTGATTTTGAATACTGTTGCGAATGCTTACCTTGCCTGGTGCAGGCACCTCCATTCAAGCCATATTTATGAGTATTGGGCAAGGCTAGGCAGGTGTTTGGGATGCTGTTTTTAGAGAAGTGGCTTCCCTGAATGGTCCTGCTCATATGGGTAGGTTGTCCCTGGAGATTGGCCCTGAGACAGAAATTGCTTAGAGACGAGGTGGAGGTGGAGTGGGATGGTTTTGAAGGAGAGGTTATAGAAGGTCAAGGCTAGGCTGGCATCTGACCAAAGGGAGGCCCACCTATAGGCTGGCCAGTGACCTATGACCCATTATGACTTGGGACAAAAACATGACCTGAACCTATTAGATTTCTTTCTCAGAAATTTGGAACTGGGAAGCTGAGAGACTGAGCTGCAAGTGAGCAGTGGAGTCTGAAAGGCTGGGATGTAGGAGAGGTGAGGAAGGCACCTTTGGGGATGGGCAGCCACCATAGTAGGAGCTGGAGAAAAGGAAGAACGGAAGCCTTGAATAAGGAGAGGGAGCTGGCTAATTGAGGAGAGAAGAGTCCAGGCCTTGGGAAACACAACAGCAAACCTGTTTTCAATCAAAAGGAACAAAATTGCTCGATGTGGGATGCCATGTAGAACAGCTGGAAGGACTCAGACTGTGGATTCAGAAACACAGTTTTGAGCCTGCATCACCACTTCATATCTGCATAATCACAAGCAATTATTGAACAACTCTATGCCTCAGCTGCCTCACCCAGAAATGGGGACAATAGCTCTATGACATCAAGTTGTTACAGAGCTCCAAGTAGGTCATCCCCAGCATAGTCATTGGCCCAGGTGAGTTTTCCATGCATGTGACTTTACTGTCTCTTCTTGATAAGAGGAAAGGAGGGACTCTCACTGGCTCCCTTATTGACTTCCAAAAATGTCCACACTTAGCTTTCACACTCTGTTCTAGAGACCTTCTACCTTGTCTCTTATACTCAGCCAATGCCTTAGAAGCTCACCTCTGGCTCAAAACACACATCTATGTGTTGCTTGGTCTGGCCAAGGTTGGCCAGCAAGTGTTTATAAAGTTGGAATCAGGACGTTTTATATAAGAATTGTTTTTCTGGATTCTCTTTAAAAACTGGATTATTTGGCTACACTGAGCCCATCTTCCTGCCAGGCAATAACTTGGAGGATGGGGAGTGGGGTGGGCTTTCCAGACAGGCCTGCCCCTACCTCCATGCTGCCTCCTAGGTCGGGTCTTGGTGGCCCTTTGTCATTGAGCTTACACTATTTTTTCTCCACCTGGGCCCCATAGGGCATTCATATTAAAGACTGCAGCTCCCCCTGATAAATGCTCTTACTATTCCTCCTAACTAAAATATTGTGTTAGTTTTCTATTACTGTGTAACAAATTATCACAAATTTCGTCCCTTAAAATAATACCTGTTCATCATCTCACAGTTTCTGCAGGTTAGAAGTCTGGATGGGCTCAGCTGGGTTCTCTGTTTCGATCTCATGTCACAGGCTGAAATCAAGAGGTCAGCCAGGCTGGGCTCTCAACTGGGGGATTAAGGAGGATCATCTTCTCCAGGATAATTTGGGTTGTGGCCTAATTCAGTTTCTTGGGGTTGTAGGACTTGTAGTCCCTGTTTCTTCATTGGTTATCAGCCAAAGATGCTCTCTCAACTCCTGTAAGCCATCCGTATTCCTGGTTATGTGGCTTCTCTATCTGCAAATCCAGCAATAGTATGTCAGGTCCTTCTCAGGCTTCAAATCTTTCTGAACTCTTCTGCCTTCATCTTCTACCTCTACTTGTACCTCTACCTCTAAAGCCCACCCCACTCCCCATCCTCCCAAGTTATTGCTTCACCATGTGAGGACTTGTAAAGCCCACCCCACTCCCCATCCTCCAAGTTATTGCTTCACCATGTGAGGACTTGCATGATTACATTGGGCCCACCCAGATAACCCAGGATAATCTCCCTATTTTAATGTCAACTGATTAATAACTTTAATTACACCTGCAAAGTCCTTTTTGCCATGTAAGGTAATGGTATGGACTGAAGAATTATGCTCCCCTCCCACCCAAATTCATATGAGCTCTTTCTTCACCATGTGAGGACACAGCAAGAAGGTGCCGACTGCAAGCCAAGAAGAGAGCTCTCGCCAAAACCTGACCATGCCAGTACCCTGATCTCAGACTCCCAGCTTCTAGAACTGGAGAAATAAATGCCTGTTGTATAAGATATCCAGTCTATGGTATTTTGTTATAGCAGCATGAGCTAAGACAAGTAATGTATTCATGTGTGTGAAGTATCATTTAATCTATAGTCCTGAGGGTTGGGATGTAGAATCTTTTTGAGACCATAATTCTGCCTATCTTCCCCCTCTGAATGTATGACCTAATACCCACCCACACTTTAGATCCTCCTCCATGATGCCTGCCTGGACTCAGTTGTCATCTTCTTCTCTCATAGTTCTTATGCCTCTCTTTTTTCCAGTATTCTGGCTGCGTTCTGGCTGGGGGTGGGCATTATTCTATCTGGGCCAATCAAACATCTTGGTTTGCCCAAGAAGTCTCATTTTACACTTCAGTCTTAGTGTTCAATTAGTGGTGTTTCCTTCCTCAGAAGGGTCTCAGGTTGGATGACACATTATGTCACTGACCTATGCACCTCCCAGCGTCTATGCTCTTGAGGGCAGGAATCAGTCACAGCCTTGCCTGGTTTCCCTTTGTCTCATTTTCTCAATCCCTGACATCCACTGTATACTCCATAATTGTTTGTTGAATGAATAAACAAACTCCTTAAATTTTTTTTGAAAAACAAACACATGGCAAAAAATCTAAATAGTACAAAGAAGTGTACAGAGAAAATTCAGTTCTTCATACTTCTCCTGACCCCCCTTTTCCATTTTTATCCCCAAAGTCACCCAGTTACTGGCTTCTTGTGTGTCCTTCCAGATGTGTATACATGAGCCACTATGTATGTGTTACACCTCTCACTTTTTTTTTTTTTAACAGAAATGGTAGTTGACCACAGATACTATTCTCCACCTTGCATTTTAACTTATTGCAAAAATTACACATACCTCTCTTCTTCAAAGAATG